GGGGGGGGGGGGGGGGGATTGTTCATGGAGCTTATACTGGGTGCCTGGTTTTCTTCCTTATAACTAAGGTGCAAGGTAGCTGTTAGTTACCTTGATCCACAGTGAGGACACTGAACCTTGGAGAGGTCTGTTCATGTGCCAGACTGCTGGGCCCTTTGGGGCTCAGATTTCATGCCAGGATCCTCAGGAGCAGAGGTTTGAGAGATCAGAGAAAGCGCAGGGCAAAGCTGGCTGTTGTAAGCTCAGAGCGCAGCCCTCACGAGGACTTTTGGAGCTGACCTGACACCTTGTGGCCACAAGTAGGAATCACTCCACCGGTGGGAAGGCTCCGGGGCTGTTGCAGGCGGCTTTTGGGCTTGGCGGCCCCTCACTTACTTGGGGGTGGCAGTGTCAAGAGGTGGCCTGGGGGATTGAGGGGTGGTGGTGGGGGGAGAGTTCAGATTCCCTGTATCTCCATCATTCTCCAACAGCTACCCAAGCAAAAAATAACATTTCACTCAAAATTTTCTGCCTTTTCGTTTTTATGCAAAAGATACATAAAAGCATCTTGAGAAAACTGTGGTTTTTATTCAACTCTAACCTGCAGTTCATGACAAATTTTGATGCTTTGTGGCCTCATTGTCCTCAGAGTTCCACCCAGACACCAGCAGTGACTGGACACTCACTTACAAGCAGAGGACTTGGTGGAAAATTTTATGGATTATAATAGATGTAAAAGACATGGTCCCCGACTTCAAGGGGGTTTGATTTATTTGGGGAGTTGGAGCAAAGACATCTACTTAGCCCGACAGGTATGACAGACGTGAGTTTCAGCCTGCGAACTCCTTATTGCATTTCTTTCTTTCCTTTTATCACCCTAATTCTGACTCTGAGCCCCTACGCCGCCCAATGAATGGAAATTTGACTTCAGGTTAAGACTTTGAATAAGGCAGTGAGAGGGGAAAACATGCTGTGGGAGGTGGACATACATTTCAAGCAATGACTCTGCCACATGTGCGGAGAGGCCTCGGCATCACCCCAGCCTTGCAGCACAGCGACACCCCCGGGCTGGGGGCTTGATTCCCAGGTGCCATCCCTTACCCACTGGTGCTCTAAAGCATTAGCTCCTGGACACCCCCCAAATGTTCCCAGTTTTTCACCACTTGCCCAAAACAATTGCCAGATGAAAGTGTTTGTTCAGTCCACAGGTATTTATTGAGCATCTACTACATACCAGACACCATGCGGTGCTACAGACACGTATAAGACAGCCCCTGGCCTTCTCCCTCCACAAAGATGACAGATGAGGTAACCAAAACCCTACAGGCTACCCCCTCCTCACTCCTCCACCCCGTGTATGCTCTCCTTGGCTATTCCTGCTCTCCTTTTGCTAAACTCCTCAGGTCTCCCCAGTTTCCTGAGTCATGCGGACTGGTAGGTCCCGCCAACAGATTGGGAAGCCTCGTTGCAGCTGCCTCACTTCTCAGGTGGAAACCATGAGGCTCCAAGGTCAGGTGGTCAGGTAGGGCCAGGCCTCGGCTAGAAGCCGAGTCTCCCTGCCTCGCATCCTGGGTTCTCTCCCCGTGACCCCTCAGTGTTTGCTTCTAAAGGCCCCTGTCCTCACTTCCTCAGCAACTGTTCCCTCTGCCACTGCCTCCTGCATCTCATCTCGAAATCTGTCCCCTTGACAGTTTACAATTACCAGGGCGACCGCTTGATGCCCTGACCTCCTCCCCTCTGCTCTTTCCCTGCCGCCTAGCAACCCCATTGCATTCCCGATGTGTCTTCCTGGCTCTTCAAGAGGCCACCAAGGATATGCTCCCCGGTGGACCCTAAAACCAGAGGGCGCTCCCCCGGTGAAGTGTGCACCGCCAGCAGCCCAGAGACGCCAAGGCCAAGCCGGACTTTATTGGCTCCCAGCCCCGGCCTTGGTGTTTGTCCACGGAAGTCTCAGCCAGCTCTCGGCCTCCTTGCCACCGTCCGACCTGCCAGGACTTCTCTGTCGCAGAAACTTCATTGCAGGCCAGACTTGTTGCTATGGCTTCGACGTTTGCAAGAAACTGGTTGGAAAGGTAAGGGGATAATGTTGAATGCGGCCTCATGGCTGAGGGGCAGAATGTTTGGACAGGCTCAGCTCCAAGCGAGAACATTTGCAAACCCGTCTCTCGACCTGGCAGAGCACTGAACATGGGTGATGTTCTGTGTCGGCATGGAGAAGGGACAGAAAGTTGGGTTACGTTGTTGGCAAGGGGTTGGCAGTAGGTTGAAGTTTAGAAAGGGCACCCTGCCTTGGCCGGTGTGGCTCAGCGGTTAGAGCGTCGGCCTTTGCACTGAAGGTTCCAGGGTTCGATTCCCAGTCAAGGGCACTTACCTGGGTTGCAGGTTCAATCCTGGACTCCAGTTGGGAGCCAACCAATCAATATGTCTCCCTCACATCGATGTCTCTCCCTCTCTCCCTCCCTCCCTCTCTCCCTCCCTTCCACTCTCTCTAAAAATCAATGGAAAAAATACCCTTGTGTGAGGATTAACAAAAAAAATGAATATGCACACACCCTTTGACCAGCAATCACACCGGGTCTGCTCCACTGAGCCCGTGTGCAAACACTGTATACAGAAGGATGTCGGCCACAGTATTATTTGTAGTCACAAAACAGAAAATAGACATCCGTAAAAATGAGATTAAATTACGAGACTTCTATACTGTGAAATACATGTGGCAGCTAAAAAGACCAAGGTGGCTCTAAATGTACAAACGTAGAAAGATCACCAGGCATGCTGTGAGGCACAGCAAGTTCAGGAGAACATAATAGCGTGGTTCTGTTTTTGATAAATAAGAAATAGTGTGTGTCTATGCAATATATGATAAAACCCATGTGTACTCTGAGACAACCACATGCCAGGTAAAGTTCTAAATGCTTTTATAAACATCAGTTCATTGAATCCTCAAAAACTCCTATGCCATGAGTACTATCATTAGCCCCATAATACAGATGGGAAAACCGAGGCACAGGGAGATTTAGGTAACTTGCCCAAGTTTCCACAGGAGTGGAGCTGGGATTGGAATTCAGGTGGTGTGGCCCCAGAGCCCATGGTTTTAATCATTTTATCCCACACTCACTCACACACACGCTTGATTGCAACTACATGGGAAAAGACATGGAAATATGCACCTAAAATAGTTCATGAGGGCGCTCGGGGAGGCAGAATGAACTGTGGGAGGGGGTGAGATAAAAGAGGACCTTAATTTTTCCTTGCTATACTTCTGTGGATTTAGAATTTTTATAAGTAAGTGTTATTTGTAACAAAAAATGAAAATCAGAAATTCATGCAATGATAAATATTACAACTCTGCCCTTCATTCAGAACTAAGAGCTGCAGGGTGTGGTCTCAGGGGCAATTTGATGCACCCACTAGAGCCCCTCACTCAATTCTCGAGATTCAGGGACCCAGACCCCAGCACTGCCTCTTGATGGCCACATGACCACATTTACAAGCTGGAGGGTTTGCTAGACCCGGAACCTGGTCTCCTGATCTCTGCCTTGGGCACTTTCCACCAGCATCCCAAGGAACAAGGGGCTCCACTTTTGTGAGGGCAGGTGGAGAGGTTTGGGACAGAGGCATGGGTGTTGGGGGAATGACATATAAGCCTGAGTCCCTCTTCGGGGGCCTCTTGCTGGATGACAGCTCCTTACGTGCATTATCCCCACTTAGTCCTTACAAACCCTCTTGGGTGCTGTGGTTATCACCCCATTCTAAAGACTTGGAGACTGAACCCTGCAAATGACCACACCCTTACTAAGAGCAAGGTTTGCAGATGGGTCAGTCTGCCCTTCCTGTCTGTGCTGTGGCTTCTCACCATGGGAGGGAGATGCTGATCATGACACAGGACAGAGATATCAGGGGAAGTCTTACGGGGCAGGACCGGAGTGGGGCCTCCTCTATGGAGTGCCTTAAGGACGCCGCAGGACAGGAAGCTGCAGGGCCCGATGGGAGCCCCGACCTGTAGACCCAGCGGGGCCCCGTCGCCTTGGCGAGGAGGTCTAGTGTGGTGGAGCAGATTCGGGAACCTCCCAGCCTGGGTTCAGTGGCCATTGCTGTCCCTTTCCAGCTGTGAGCACTTGGCTCCTGAGCTCTCCTTCTCTGAAGCTGGATTTCACCAATAGCATGGGGGTGACATAGCACCACCAGTGAGTGCATGGGAATTCAGGCACCTGTGCCTGTTTGGTGACTGGCAGAGGACTTGGCACCTGGTCAGGGCTCACAGGTGGCGGTTATCATTATTAGCATTATCACAGTCCTTTCCTATCCCATCAAGGACTTCAGCCTGAGTCACAACCTGCGTCACTCCCTAAGCTACAGCACAGGTGAACGATCCGCAGTTCCCCAAGGCATTGCGCCCAGCTCACACCTCAGTACTTGGAACTTGACGCCCCTCTGCCCTCTCGTCTATGTCTGTGTGACATCCCCGGCCTGAGCGACACCTTCTCTCTGGGCTACCGTGGTACAGTACCCCTTTCGCCATGCCAGGGCCTAACCATTGCTCCTCAGCGTCCCCTCCTGTCTGCTGAGCACTGTGTTCCCAGGGCCTGGCCCGCAGCCTGCAGCATGCGGTAGGGGCTGAAGCGTGGCGGAGTGAGCCCAGGAAGGTGAGAAGGGAGGGCGAAGGCGGCCTGCTGCGTGGGGGCGAGCAGGCCTGATAGGGTGCAGACGGGCGCCCCGCTGGGCCCGGCTGACAGGGGGTGGCCGCGGGGCCTGTGCTCACCTGAAGTTCACCATGCCTGTCTTGTCATCCAGCCGCTTGACCAGCTCCCTGAGTTGGAACCGGTTTAGGGGGACCTTGTTTTGCTGAGGAGGTAGATGGAACATGTGAATTAACGGAGCTCTCCGCTTACCTGCTCTCCAGCCCCCCCAACGCACGCACACACACACACATGTGCTTGCACACACACAGTGCCCACGGGCACTAGGGATCAGCACACCTGTATCATGGCTTTCCAGAACTTGCCCACAGGCATCTTCACCATCCCAGTAGGGTTGAAGCTCTTGAAGAAGTCCAAGACTGTGATCTTGTTCCCGTCCGCGTAGCTCTGAGAGAAGCAGGAGACACCAGGAGCAGACACTTGACCTTAGAACATCTGTAACAACTCTCCCTCCCCTGCCCCTCCTGTCACAGGGTGGCCCGGCTCCAGACCTGGCAGGCAGAGGGGGAGTGTGACAAGCAGACCCAAGAGCTTGAGTCTCAGATGTGAGAGTCACTTAAGATCAAAAGTTCTGTGCAGACTGATGCTGTGAAGGTCCCACAGCATCGAAGGAATTGGGCAGTGATAGTATTTACGTGAGTTATTTAGTTTTGAAGTTGCCTCTGCTAAGACTAGTGTAGATGGCACACTGTGGACGGTGGGTGGACTTGTGTTGGCTCAGAGTCCAGAAGACTGAACCACAGCCATGCTGTGTGATGGGCAGGACTGGCTCTCAGAATTCATTTAAGTCTCATCATTTCACACAAATGGTTCTATGGAGACGTACTGTGTTAGAGTATTTAAAATATATATTTCATTGTTTTCATTTCAAAAATATTACCCACTCATATTGTAAGGTAATTTTAGATTAGTAGAAAGAAGAAAATGAAAAATAATCCATAAATCCAATCCCACCATCCAGAGGTAACATCTTAATGTGTATCCTTTCATCTATCTGTCTGTCTACCTATCATCCATCCATCCACCCATCATCTTTCTACTGTACATACTATTTTATGAAATGCACTGTAACCAATACATGTGAACACCTTTTCAATACCATTCAAATATTCTTTTGGGGTCCTTTTTTTAGTATCTTTGCTCACCTGAATCCTTGACCTTCAAGGCCCTTCCCCAACCCTGTCTCTGCCAGGAAGCATCCCTTTCTGTTTGCTCATGCCCTCTAATGTGAATTCTGATTATATTTGCTGCTTTGCCACTTATTTATTACTTATCATATGACACTTTCTATTAGCAGTTACTGTATCTGTCCCATTTCCCAAACGCAACTGTTGGCCCCTGAGGGGAGGGACTGACTGTATTTCACATTGTGTGTGTGGCTTGGTCTTGACTAGGAGGTTCCTGCTCTGTGCTGTTTTAAACAAGGGGCAGGCCCCCCACTTTGCATCAGATAACTCCATTCCTGTTCACTGAAGCATCCTGCTTCCCTTGCAAAACAGGTTTCCCCTTGGTTCCACCTGAGGTCATCTGACCTGTAAAGATACTTGATACCCCTTTGCCTTTTAGAACTTTGGGGTGACTGCCAGTGGTGGAAACACCAGGCCTGGGGCTGGTTGCTGCTCTGAGGTAATCAGACCAGAGGAGCCCTAATATCCCCTCATAGCTCTAATAGGCTCTGTTTCTTTATTTTCACTGTTACACCTGCTTCCTGTGATTGTCAGAGTCAATCTAAGACTCAAGCCAGGTTACCACTAGATATAAAGGACTTGAGGCTCCCTCTTTAGCTGAAGCCACCAAATAGCTGTCCTGACCACGGGTGTCTTGGCTTCCTTACCAGCTGCTGGAAAGAACCCACATTTATTGGGTGCTTGTTATATGCTAGGTGTTGTTCTAAACACTTCATGTATATGATAGAATTTAATCTTCACAGCAGCCCTGCTAGGGTGTGTATATTTATTATGCCCATTTTACAGGTGAAGAGACTGAGGCACAGTGAGGGTCCTACAACAGCAAGGGGAGGAGCCTGGCTGGTAGAAACCTTCCTGTTCCAAGCCCCTCCCACTTCAGTCGGTTCCCAGCGGTTCCCCTGGCCGAGCGACCTGAAATCCATAGGGAATATTCCACAGCTGATCTGAGACAGTCCTGGTCAGAGAGGATTGTTCAGGCACTTTGGGGGAGGGGAGACTCTGGGTAGCTGATTGGAGCCAAAGGACAGCTCTCTCCAGGGATCCCTGAGCGGAAAGCAGGGGCGTACCTGGATCATTTTCATGGCGTTTGACCACAGGAAGACGTTCTTCTTGACAGAGAGGCCTTGCACTGCCTTGTAGACCACGTCCAGCTGCGGGTGGATGGCATACACCCCGTCTAATAGTTTCACGAACTGCTCGGACACCATCACATTCTGAGGCAGGGAGAGAGGGGACCCATCACGGGGAGGGCACCACCATGGTGCCATCTCCCTGCCCAGACTAGTGTCCTGCCCAAGCCGGCAGAGTACTTTGTCTTTCCAGTTTGTTCTGCAGTGCTGCTCCCAGACTGCGATGGTGCCCATGGTTTAGAGCTCCTGGTTTAACCTGTAATACATTTCCCAGGTGACTGATCAGGTGCTCTGTTTGAGCGCTGGGGGCTATGGCACACTGTCACCTCAGCTATGCTGTCAGGTGGCAAGCACCCGTGTCTGCGTGTGACAGATGAGATGTAGAGACAGAGTTGTGAGACTGGTCTGGGAACCAATGCCACGACATGCCCATTTCTACACCAGTGCTGTCTTCAGAGCAGGTGCCCTGGAAGAGGACCTCTCCTTCCAGCCATCTGGGCACAGCTCAGAGTGCACTGGGAACCCCCTTATGCAAGTGCCCTGAGAGCTGGGTCACAGGCCGCAGGAGAAGACGCGTCCCGTGAAATAGCGTTTGATCGAGCCTGGCCTCCGCGGGTTTGATCCACCTGCGTCACTCCTCAGGCGTGGTTCTGAGTATCTCCTGCCTTTCCAAGAATTAAACTCATGCTTAAAGGCTGAAGACTTACCCCCTTCCCTTTGCAGATATTCTAGAGAAATTTCTAGAAGCATCTACAAGGAAGGAATTCCAACACCACTTGGAATTATGGCTGCATAGTTGACAACAGGGAAGGAAAAGGCTAATTCAGACCTTTTGGTTCTGGTAGGCTTGTTAAGTGGCAACATGATCCTAGCCCATGGGGCTCTGTGTCATCTGGAGCCTAACCAGCACCGTTTCTGACATTCCCTCAGACACACCAAGCCAGGCCCTGGCTCCATACCAGCTCTGTGGGAGGGAAAACCAAATATCCACAAAACCTGGACCCGAGGCTGAGATTCAGAGGCAGGGCAGGGTGGGAGCTGAGGCAGCACTGTGGGGTGCGAGGTCAGAGCTGTTGAATGAGGGTGGAGGGAGGGCCTCCGAGGAGAAAGACCATGAGTACGGGAGCCTGGGGCAGGGAGGAATGGGTAAGGGGTCACAGTGGAAAGAAAGTAGGTATGTGTTTATAATGTTTTATAATCTATGGCAAACATTAAATCAAAAACATACTTGTCATTCAGTTCCAAGGAGCTTGGGTTTAAATATTCAAGATATCATCACTGAGATATTGCAAGGCATTAATATCTTAGCAAAATATTATATATGTGTGGCATTAAGAAATGTACCACTGTGCCTTTCTAGAGCTCTAGAGTAGGAGGCAGAAGCCCTGGGTTTACTCCTTGCTGTGGTTCTCACTTGCTGTGTGGACCTAGGCAAGTGACCTGACCTCTCTGTTTCAGTTTCATTATATGTAAAATGAGGAAAAGTTCTGTTATGGTTGAATTTTTTTGGTGTTCCCACCAAGAAAAAATGTTGAAGTGCTAACCCTCAGTAGCTGTGAATGTGACCTTATTTGGAAATAGGGTCTTTGCGTTAAGATGAGGCCATTAGGGTGGGCCTGCTCTGGTGTCCTTAAGAAAAGGGGACGTTTGGATACAGAGACAGACTTGCAGGCAGGGAGAATGCGAGATGAGCTGAAGGCAGAGACTGGGGGGATGCATCTACTAGCCGAGGAAGGCCAATGATTGCCAACAACTACCAGACATTAGGAGAGAGGCATAGAACAGATCCTCCCTCGTAACCCTCAGAGGGAACCAACCCTGCCAACACCTTGATTTTGGACTTCTAGTTCCCATAACTGTGAGACAATAAATTTATATTGTTTAACCCACCCAGTGCATGGGACCTACCTCCCAGAGTAGGATCAAATGAGCTGGCATATATAAAATTACTTTGGGGGGAAAAAGGGTATAAAGTGATAGACAAGCATAGGATACGGTTAGTATCAGCTACCACCTTCAGGATGATTCAATCAGGAGTACCTGGCCGAGTGAAGTCACCTCCTCAGGCTTTCCTTGTCCATCAAAGGATTTTTTTTAAACCCTCAAATACTTCTCTGAGTAGAGTGGGCTAAGTTATGAAATAAAAATACAAGTTGGTCTATGTTTTACTACTCAGATTCTAAAAGGCTTGTGATTCTGGAACCATCTGGGATTCAGGGCCACCCGTCAGCAAAGCTGACATAAACGATTCCATCCTGGGGTCCTCCTACCTTTTCCTGGCGTGTCCATGTCTCTGCTCTCAGGCCCCCTCTCAAGTGCTCAGGGCCTGGGTTCCTGGGATCTGGCAGATGATTTCACACTTTGCTCCTATTGACTGAATGGCTGCTCCTACTGAAAGGACCCCTGGGGCAGAGTTGTGCTCCAAAAGGAGCAATCTTTTCAGGGAGCATTTGTGTGAAGGCCTGTGAGGGATGGAGCTATTGGCAGCTGCCGACATGAGTGGCCATGGTAACTGGTGAGAGCAACTACTATTTGATTACTTACGGAAATGTCAAGGTTTTCCATCTTGGATTTGGGGTTCCTTTTGATGGCATGGATAAGTGAGCTAGCCCCTTCCATGTTTATAGGGTTCAGGTAAAGCTGTGGGAAGGGGGGTGAGACAGTAGGAGGCTGAGGTGGGAACAGGAGAGGCTGGTTCAGAGCATGGCACTCATTTCTTTCCATCAAATCACAATCTGCCTTCCACCCAGACTTCTTTGTAAGCACCTGTCTCCCTGTCCATCTGTTTGTCCAATTATCCATCCACTTGTCCATCTCATTGTTCATCCGTCCATTCATCTATCCACCCACCCACCCACCTGTGCATCTTACTGCTCATCCATCCATCCATCCATCCATCCATCCATCCATCCATCCATCCATCCATCCATCCATCCAACATTTATTAGGACACCTGCCATGGGCCAGTTGCTGGGTTAAGTGCTGAGGGAGGCATAGGCAGACATGAGGAGGTCTCTGTCCTCAGGTAGTTTATGCTCTAGAGGTGGACACAGGCATTTAAATAGGTAAATGGCATCAGAAGTGAGAAGATGACAGTGACAAAGGTACACACTGGTATTGCAGGAGCATCCAGTACAGAGGAGGGGACACTTGAGCAAAGCCTTGCAGGAGGGATGGGGATTAGTGAGGTATGAAAAGGGGTGTGGGGTCGGGCAGGGCCAGAGGAGGGAGTAAGATGCAGCAAACATGACAAGAGCAGCAGTGCCAAGGGGCAGAGGTGTCCGGGCCATAGCAAATATCTCGTGAGCAGGAGCAGAGGACGGGGCCACAGAGCTGGCCAGATCACACAGGGGCTCGTGGGCTTAGCTAAGTACCCAGGGCATTATCGCAATGGTGGGAACAGCTGGGCTAACAGCTGGGAACATGGAGCCCCGTTGCTCTGCTTACCAGCTTCCTGGCTTTGCGTTAATTCCCCGACAACTGTGTACCTGTCACCTAGGGCTGCTCTGAGGAGTCAAAAAACCAACTCAAGCAAAGCATTCAAAAGAGTGCTTGGTAGATAGTAAGCAGCCACTGAATGGTAGTTATTCTTATTGCAGGCTTTCAGCTGGTGGTTTTGTGATGAGGCAGGTCAGAACTTTTCCTGAGCATCTACTGTGTCAGCTGTTTCCCAGGCTCTGGTGCATTCCAGTGCGAGAAGTCCTGCCCTCAGGGCTTAGCATCTAGAACTCTTTGCTTGCCTCACTGCCCAGGGCGAATTATTTTTCCAAGATCAGGGAAAGGAGGACTGGGGCTGGATTATTACTCTCCAGTAATAATTCCAATGGCAAAATTGATGTGGCCTCCACCTATGAGCCAACTGAGAGCTATAAATTAATCTTTTTTCTTTCTCACTTTTAAAACATTTAAAAAAAATTAAAGTATATTTATTATACTTGGTCATTGTAGAAAAAATTTTAAAGAAGGGAGAAACAATGTTCAATTCTCCTGTATCCTAATAACCAGGAAAAACTTTTGGTTTTAAAATTCAGCTTGTCTGAACTTTCCTTGGCTTCCCTGGCCACCGAGGTGGAATCACTTGCAGACTGGATCAGCCTCTCTTCTCTGAGTTATACTTGATCCCACTCTGTCCAGGCCAGAGTCTCAGCTCTCCTAGTCACTAGATGGCCATCTGGCCCGGTCTGGCCTCCAGTCGCCATGTTCCCTCCACTGATCAGAATCTGACTTCCTCTTGTAACCTTAGCAGCTCTAAGGTGATTGTCCTCCCGGATGGCAGCTCATGTTCACTGATTCCTAACTGCCATTCTTCTTCCACCAGGACCTCCACCTCTGTGGTCCCCTCAAGCCATGCCCACATCTTGTGGGAGTCAGTTGCAGTGGAAAAGTCAGGTAGAGCTGACGTCTCTCTGCCTCCTGTTGGCTGTGTGGCTCAAGCAAGTCACATAGCCTCAGTTTTCTCATCTGACAAGTGGAGCTAACGGAGCCCATGTTGGAGGGTTGGCCTGTGAGTAAGGAGGCAAATCACCTGATACGGGACCTGGCTCTTGGTGGGAGCCTCAGAAGGGAAGCCTCATCTTTCATCTGTTTTCCCACTTCCCAGAGCTTCTGTTATAAATTCACATCTATAAGCAAATTACTTTAAAATGAAATATGCATTCATTCACTTAATAAATATTCACTGGGTACCTACTATATGCCCAGCACTATGCGAGGTACAAGGGCTATAAATATGGGCTACAGGAAACACAGTCTTTGTTCTCATGAAGCTCTCACACTAGTTCAACACAGGCAGTCATTCAAATGAGGGTGTAAAGAGAAACTCTGGCAAATTCTACATGAGGGGAGGGAGCATTGCAGGCTCAGGATGGGCAGAGAGAGGCCCTGGCAGGACCAGGGAGATGAAAGGAGACCCTGAGGCCTTGGGTGGGAGCAAGGGAAAGCATGGGGTAAACTGAGGTTGGGGAAGAACACAGGGCTGGGAGAACTGGATTTGAGCAGCACGTGGCCATGGCGGGGGCTATAAGCTGGAGGAAAGTAGATAGCAGGAGGTGGAAATCAGATTCATGCTCAAGAGCCTGCAGGAGACCCCAACAGGGGGAAGGAAGACCAGTTAGGAGATGACTACTGTCCATGCTCCAGGTGAGAGAAGGGGGTGACATTCAGTGTACAGCAGAGACAGCCGAGAATATATGCACATGTGAAGCACAAGGTAGGTTTTCCCAGTGAGTCTCTTCAGCAATGTCTGGCCCCGTCACTCTGCTGTCCCATCCCAACATACATGGACACACACTCACACACAATGCACAGATTCGTACACGGAAGCACACCCATGGATGCGCACACGTGGATGCATGGACACACACACAGATGCACACACAAAACAGCCCATTCCTAGCCAGGTAAAGACTCTACCTTCAGAACTTTGAGGTTCTCATTGAATTCCAGTCCTCTGCTAATCTTGGTGACCCCTTCATTGCTGATGTCATTATTGCTGAGGTCTAGGTAGGTCAGGCAGCTGTTGAGTCTGAGGACATCTGCGAGGGCCGCAGCCCCGTCATTCCCAAAGCCATTCATGGAGAGATCCAGTGTCTTCAGGGTCATGTTAGACTCCGGGG